AAACAAAAGAAGCAGTTTTCGACCCTGCCACATTTTCATTTTCTAGGTAAGTCTGAAATGTACTTCATTTGGTACCTCGTGAACCCTGGAGCTTGGTCAAAATCCACTTTCGTATTAATCTCCGAAGAAAATGTGATGAAATGTTTTTTTCTCAAGACATCTACCCCTTGAACGGACGATGATGACTCATGTTCATAATGTCTCACATTCCGAAAGTTGCTTAATGATTGATTAGAGAATATTCTGTAAATCAATTGAACTGCTGAAGCCTTCGGTTGTGGCAACAAAACGTATAGTATCCTGTACATCCTTGTCTTCATCCCCCTGAATGAAGAAGGAAAGTAAGCACTTTCATAGGGTATTTAATATTCAAACTACGATTTTATCTCTCAGTAATAAGCTAAGGTGAAATCAGTGGTAGGAAGTACGGTAGGTTATGTGCCGACATGCATGTTTGATGGACTTTCTATAAATTGAATATCGCGTTCACACTGCGGGAAATCGCGCAACTCAACCATTATTGATTAGTAACTCAACCATTAATGATCAACGAAAAAAAGACGGTGATAATCAGACGAAGGTGAATTCTCATGCCTTAATTATGACCGTAAAAAGGCGAAATATCGTGTTATGGAAAGATTGGAAGCACTACAGGGTCGAAACGTCTTAAGATAATAACGACAATCGAACTAATTAAATTGTCCAATTTAAATTCATAAATAAAAGAATATTTTATAACTGCCCTGATGATACAGTCTGACGGTTCTCGTGACTGGCAAGAGACAAGAAGGAAAGTAGAATACCGTGGGCTTGAAAGCTACCTGACAGACACCTTGAAACAATATATTATCTAGATTGTAGTCGCAGGAACCTAAAGATTTTCTTGTGCCGTTACGGGCATCCGTTCTAAGCAAAAGGTAGGGCACTTGCAAACCAGGGGCCACCCTTCGTATTAATACCAAACGACGGCTTTGCTAAATGCTGCATATCATTAAATGTATTGTTTGACGGAAGATGGTTACTGGTCGATAAGAAGAACGAACGACCGTCAGCATGCTTGATCGATTAATTAAAGAAATGGAATGGGATACTGGAATAGAATGACATCTTTCAGAATGTGAAGAATCTCTGTCTCATTCGCAAGTCACTTGAAAATTTTGTACATTTACGTTGTCCCTCTGAACATCTGTCTCTGACACCCTAATTGCAAAATATTATTGTAATATTTTGTCTGTGTGATGCTTTTGGATGATACTGAATTGCATTGCGATTTATTTCAAGCAAAGGAAGAACAGGAATACTAGCAGTCTTGAGTGACAACCAATTGCTTTACCTCAGACCACCGTTACTGTATTGAAATGACAACAAGAACAGCGACAGTGATTATACCCTTCACTGATGGTCATATTTGATCATCAGCTGTAGGAGGGTCAAAGTAGATTGTAGCTCTGGGCAGCTCACATCAGACAGCATGGCGGTACCACTCCTCTGTTCTGATATAGCCAAACAAGAACATCGCACTGGTCTTGTTGTGGGGTGAATTCCTTGCTGAAGTGAATTGGCGGTCCTGGCAAATTTTGCTTCTAACTCACGAATCGAACATTACACCCAGTTTAACTGTACCTCAGCATCCAAAGGTCTTCGAAAGTTGTTTCTTCCATTATAACAATGACCACTCTTTCAAAAGTGTATGGCTTTTAAAATCGAAATTTTCCTGTTTAACTAGTAGACGTCGCGAGTCATTATAGTAATACTTTTTCTTGAGTTGAAGTTTACGTTAACGCATAAACTATAAACAAAAATATTTGATTCTGACTGAACAGTACACCAGAGCAAAGGAGAGAGAAGTAAAGAATATAGGTGATTCAGAGCTGGTCGATTTTGTTCATGAATGACATTTGCAAAAGTAAATAGACTCTAGGACAAGTGGGCGATTTAGTTTAAAGTTCAACGAGAACGGAAAATTGTTCATTATAATTGTCACTCCTTTACTGCATGTCCGCATCGCAGTAGTCTTGCTGCAATGGCACTTGGCTATGCTACTGGTGTATCCTTAATTCATTCGGTGAGGTTGATAGAAACAGTCTAGCATATGACTTGAATTTCATTGTTGATGGAGTAATAACTGATTAACCATAATGATTACATTGGATATGCTGTGGAGTAAAACAACATAACTTCGAAGAAGGCCTTTACATTTTTATGATGACATAAAAACCTCAGACCAGCTTAAGTATTTATTCCATGGCTATCTAATCATGTCTGTTTCATGCCATGAATAGAGTTGCCAAAGAATTTGATTTTTCGACGCTGTCAGGACAGAAAGACTGAGGGCTATCATATGCACTAATCCACAAGAAATTTTTCCATCATGCCATTTGCTGTCTGCATGAGAGAAAAACAAGTCACTCATGAGGTGAGTCGAAGACCAGGATATTGGATCATAGATGATGCCAGAAAACCGAGAGAAAATGATATCCGTTCCATGAGGTTGATACTACCACTTTGGTGACACCAATGAGAGATGAAGATAAGATCAAAGAAATGGTAGCACGATTCTGTGATGAAAGACACGAAGTGATGTGAAGCGTTCAAAGACATAGACAAGCATTGGAGAATGTGGCGAAAATTGACTCGTAGAGTGAACCTGAATGTGGGAAAAATGATGAAGAAAAATGTATCTTGCTTGAGTCATATGACCGAGTTTGCTTGAGGACGTGCTTGGTTCGTTCCACACTCCGTGATGTTTCACTGCATCACCCTCTGCCATAATACTCAGATGGTCCCCATTGGCATGTAGGAGCAAGAAAGAAGTGCAACACTGCCGTCAAACCCGATGTAACGTATTGTCACTCACTATGGCAGTAGTACTCGGTGTAAGTCAGAATGTTAAAGAAGAGGAATGGATGATCAAGGCATAAGAAATCTATGAAGTAACCTTCGCTTAATTCATGTATGATGCGGATATGGTTAGAGATAAACCACAGATGATCGCTGCCAGAGGCTCCACTAAAAACTAAACGGACGTTGTTGGTAGGACTGCTTTTTGACTCGCTGCTTGTTTCACCTGTTGAGTTATGCTTTGTAATTTGCGTGATTTGTTTGTGGACCCTGTGGATCTTTGGAGGGGTAGGATCTGTTTCGGAGCAATGATGACGTGTTGAGTCGAATGGCGAACGGAGCGAAGTTGTGGACTGGCGTCCCAACGAGTGACGCGTGGAGGGAAGCGGTGAAGCGTCGCGATGGCGTTGGAAAGCAACGTCTCTGCTGTTCAACTCTTACGAGTGAACTAAATTTGAATTTGAATTTCGAGGCTGTTCAGGTGTTGCCTCGTTATTACGCGAGGCTCGGCGTAACATGTGTGAAACGTAGGCGGACGGAGGCCAGAAATAATGTATGAATAGGAGCAGGAAGCGGGTCGGAGTATGACCGACGTACCAGCGGGTAGGCAGGACAAGTTTTTTCGTCGCCAGGTGACAACGACGGGCGCAGACCGGACGACCGGGGCGGCTCGTCGCTTCCTTTGTCCAGCTGAGGTCGTTGCAGGGTCCCGGTCCATCGTCACAAAGGCCGTTAGTGTAAACGTAGGCATCAACACCTTCTGCCGTCGTCGATCGGCCGGCACCGGGGCAGCAGCTGTGGTGCAAAGTTGTGCGACGACGACCGGTCGGTGATGGATGTTCGCCTGCAGCGGCGGTGACCGGAGCGTCTCGACGGAGAAGAGTTGACGAGACCTCTTCGGCTGCGGCCACGCGCCACCTGTCGACCCGGAGGCGCCTTGGCTAACCGGTGGCACTGTAAACTCAGCTACCAGTACTTGGCTACCGTTCGATCACGAACTTCTTGTTTTCGGGCACGCGCGCAGGTGGCACGGGTCGAAGTAACCAGCCTCCCGACCCATTAATATCTTCTGACTCCGCCGAAGCCAAGCTGCCTGCCTGCCTCCGTCCGTCCCTCATTTGACTTACGTAATGGCCGTTCCGAAACCAGCATTGCGACGAGCGGTCCGGTCCAAGTCGGTCGTCACGAATCTCCGTTTTCCAAACACTCGATTCTCTGATCACCTGATCGGGCTGCAA